TGTGTGTGTGTGTGTGTGTGTGTGTGTGTGTGTGTGTGTGTGTGTGTGTGTTAGAAGTGGTGATGGGAGGGTAATATGTCCCCTGCTTTCTACAAGTTCCCCATAATACCTAGGATGGGGTCTTATTAGAATACTAGCTCAATAAAAGTAGTTGAAAGAATTAATTAATGAATCATTTCCTCTTCAAGTAATTTTTTCCCAATCAAGTGATACATTTGAAGACCAAAAAACTTGGATATTTTACCCTTTTAATATTAGGTAAACTAGAAAAGCAAGTTATGACTTAAATCATTAGGGTCTTATTTCAAAAGGAATTGGTGGTTCTAATGCCACATTTCAGATAGGAGAGATGCCACAATCCAATAGACTTTTCCTTGACCCCAGATTCATTCAATCAAGCTGAACTGTAGGTGATTTTTTGTCTTTCTGCTTAATCTGATTAGTACCTTTCCTATGTGAGTCTGACTTTGGGGAAGGTTGATTTCATGAGAGCAGGGGTATTCTCCATCATGCTCATTGTTGTATTACCAATATCAAGAATAGGCTTTTGAGAAATAGAGTAGGGGCTGAAGAAATATTTGTGGGCTGAACATGGAGGTGCACATCTGTAATCCCAGTGACTCAGGAAGCTGACGCAAGAGGATTGCAAGTTGGAGGCCAGTCTGAGAAACTTAATTTGGCCCTAAACAACTTGGCAGGACCTTGTCTCAAAATTAAAAATCAAATCAAAATGGCTGGGGATGCAGCTTAGTGGTAAAGTACCCCTGGGTTCAATCCCCAGCACCAATAAAGAATGAATGAATGAATGAATGAATGAATGAATAAATACATAAATAAATAAATAATGAATGAATGATCATGGAAAGAGGGAAGGAGAGAAAGGATCAAGGAAAGAAGATGTGGGAGGCATCTGCTTTTTATACCAATTAATCTGGCACCTACTTATTCACTCATCAGTTGCCAACAGTCCCCTCATGTTCTGTGTTAGATACAAAATGATGAGATGTCACAGTCTGCTCTCAAAAACCTGATCATCTAGTGGGAGAGACCTAACACAGCAGGTGGTAAGTGCTTCACCAGAGCAAAAGGCCTGGTGATATGGGAGCTTGCCAAAGGGAGCATCCAATCTGCCCGTGAGGAAGGGCAGGACACAGAACACAGTACAAACCTGAGCAGAATCTTAATGAACTCCATGATGCTTCGAAGACTTGAGAACATTTTAACCTCCATAGTCCTAAAACTGGCTAGATGGAAACAAAAAGTGGAGAGCTGCAGGTCCTCACATTTTAGCCATTTTCTATTTCATCCTTTTGATGTTAGAAGTTATTTTGCCTTGGCACCTTTGGGCTCTTGTTTCACTCAGGGAATGCAAATGGCTGCAGTGAGTCTGTCATGCAGCATCTTGTCATGGAATCATAGCTTTATAATCACAGTGGTCCAAATGACATAAATTGAAGGCCTGATGTCTGGGCTAGACCTGAACCATACTGTATCCAGGAGGAACAGCTTTGTTAAGCATGATCCATTAACACCACCGTTTGTTCTTTTCTGAGCAAATTCTTGTTCCTGTGACGAGGATTAATGATATAACAGCCATCGGGTGGTCTTTGCATTCTCTAACAGCCTACAGAGTAAAGGTGTGTGTTTTCCATCAAAACAGCAAGTTTTCTGAAAAGGGTAGATACACTTAACCTCAAAAGGAGAATCACTGGCTAAAAAGTAAATTAGTTGTAATGGTCTGAGTTTATTTAGGCATAAGAAAGACTTTGGGGGTATGATGATGGACTTCTGAAACAAGAAAATCTAACGTCTGAGGGGGGGGAAAGGATCCTGATTTGACTTCTGCTTTTTTATTTCCTTACTCAGGTGCTGACCCCAGCACAGATCAAATCAATTTGCCAGGCAATTCTGGACTCTGGGAAGCAATATGCTACAAAGAAGAGGAAACCATTCCCCCTGATGTATTCTTACTATGGAACCGAGTACTTGGGTGAGTGAGGATGTTGGCACAGGCCTGTGTAGGATAGAGGACGTCTCTAATGTTGACACTGGATATTTTTGTTTTTGCCATAGGCTATCACTAGATTCATTAACAAGAAATACTTAAAAATGTCATTTAAAAGCAAATGTCCTACCCAAAGGACTTTAAAAAATCAGCATACTATAATGACATGGCCACATCAATATTTAGAGCAGCCCAATTCACAATAGCTAAGCTATGGAACCAATCTAGGTGCCATTCAACAGACAAATGGATAAAGAATGATATATATACACAATACAGTATTACTCAGCCATTAAGAAGGATGAAATTATGCCATTTGCCAGTAAATGGATGGAACTGGAGACTAATTGAAATAAGCCAATCCCCCAAAAACCAAAGGCCGAATGTTCTCTGTGATATGTGGATGCTAACTCACAATAAGAAAGGGTGAAGAGGAGAATAGAAGTTCATTAGATTAGTTAGACAAAGGGGAATCAAGAGAAGGGAAGGGGGATGGGAATAGGAAGACAGTAGAATCAATTGACATAACTTTCCTATGTTCATATATGAATACATGACCAGTGTGACTCCACATCATGTTCAACCACAACAATGGGAAGTTATACTCCATGTATGCATAATATGTCAAAATAATTCTACTGTAATGTTTACCTGTAATGTTTAAAAAGCAAATATCAATGAATATTACCAACCACAACTTAATATTTGCTTTCATAGTTTGCCTGAAGCTATTTTAACAATTACTTTCATCCTAGATTCAAAGGCTCTTCAGCCTTTTTTTTCTTTTTTTTTTTTTTTTTGAGACAGGGTCTCACTACATTTCCCAGGCTGGCCTCAAACTCCTGGGCTCAAAAGATCTTCTCAGCCAGACGTGGTGGCACATGTCTGTAATCCCAGCAGCTCAGGAGGCTGAGGCAGGAGGATCATGGGTTCAAAGCCAACCTCAGCAAAACTGAGGCAACTGAGTGAGACTCTGTCTCTAAATAAAATACAAAATAGGGCTAGGGACGTGGTTTAGTGGTGGAGTCCCCCTGAGTTCATGTTCAATCCCAGGTGTGCCACACACACACACAAAATCTTTGTTATTAATTTTTTGGAAACAAAGTTTCATTGTAGTCACTAATTTATGCAGATATTAAAAATTTACATATGGCTTACAAAAATTACAGTGAATTGACTTAATTTTATTCTTTGCTTATTTGATTTGTTAATAAGTAAATTTATGTGTGTGTTGATATGTACACTTGTGTAATATATTTATATAATTTGAAATTTTTAGTACTCATTGATTAATAACAGACTACTGAATTGCAGGGAGTATTTTGAATTTTGAGCTCTGGGCCACCTAAGGAGTAAATTAGTTATTATCCTTTAGAGTTCTTGCACTCCTGAGCAAGATTTGTAAGGTAGACCACCAGCCTCTTTCTCCAGACTCAAGCTTTATTTCTTCCCTCCAGATTCTGTGCATCATAGTTTCTCACATACAAAGTGTCCTCATATTTTTATACCTTTTACATGTTCTTTTTGCCTAGAACACTCCACTTCCTCCAACCTCTTCATCTATCTATAATACCCAGACTTCAAGACTCTGCACCAACATCATGAGATCTCCTGAGGTATTTTCTCTGCCTCAGGAGAAAGGGGTGTTGAAAAACATTCTGGAAAAACATTCACGTCTTTCAGATTTTCCCCTGAGGCAAACTGGGTAACATCATGTCACCCTGCCCACACTTTTATTGGAGAGCCTCATCACATTACACTTAATTAGTGGCTTACCAGTCCAACTGCCTTAACGGGCTTTGTGCCTTTTTTGGATAGGGACTTACTTTTGTTTATTTTTGTGATCCCTAGACCTCTGCCACAGAGCCTGCGCATACCAAGGATACCCAAATGAATAAATGAATGACTAATGAACCACTTTAATGAGAGCTGTCTCAAGAAAACCTTTAAGTTCCTAAGTTTGCCTGCAATGAGACCCCAAGACATAAGGATTTGAGTATAAAAGATTTATTTGAAAGATGATTCCAGAAACCATAGATAGACAAGTGAGGAAATGAGACAGTGGAGAGAAAGAAGCAACTGAGTGTGTAATAATGAGCAACTGTGGACAACTGAGGCTCAATTCCCTTGGGGATTCTTAGAGACTGTATAGACCAGGCCTCTGAAATTGTCTCACTGCAGAGTTGAGGAAACTGCTATTCATCCACCAACTCCCTACTTTATTGTCAGCTGCTCCAGATGTGTTAATTCCCTAGTATTTCTGCCCTATTCCCCGTGAGCTGGGCATACCCCTGTGGCCAGAGAAAGTCTCAGGCAGAATGATAGGTGTATCAAGTAGGAAGGGGAGGCAGGTGCACTTGAATGGAGAGTCACTGGCATTGTCTGTTCTAGTCCCCTGATAGAGCTATTCCTTTCAGTTTTGAGATTTTTGGTTTTTAGAGAAATTAGCATTCTGGCCCTTGACATAGAGAGCACAAACCAGATTCCCATCGAATGCATAATCATTTTCCCCAAAAGGAAACTTTCTCGTAACAATTCCAAATCCAGAGAAAGAAAGGTACTTTGAAACTTCATGACCAAATATTTTTGTTTTATTTTGTTTTGTTTTGCTACCAGGGATTGAACCCAGGGGCGCTTAACCACTGAGCCACATCCCCAGACCTTTTTATTTTTAATTTACATGCTTATTTTTTAATTTAGAGATCTGGTTTCACTGAGTTGCTTAGGGCTTTGCTAATTTGTTGATACTGACTTTGAACTCACAATCCTCCTGCCTCAGCCTCCTGAACCACTGGGATTACAGGCATGCGCCACCACAGCATGACCAAATTTTAAGAGCAACAGAATTTTTGACAAGATACAACTATAAGCATGTTTCTGGGGCTGGGGATAAAGCTCAGTTGGTAGAGTGCTTGCCTGGCATGCACAAGGCCCTGGGTTCAATTCTCAGCACTGCCGGGGGTGGGGGGCTGTTTCTGGAAAGTTCCAAGTATGTAAAGTGGAAGATGCCTGAATACAAAGAAAAAGTTTTATAATTAGAGAGTTGAGTTTTAATAGCAAGTTCTTGGAATATATTAACCCCAATACCACTAATTAAGACTCTATGAATTCAGAATGAGTAAAAACTACAGGGACTGGGCTGCCTTCTCCCTTTGTTAAGCTAAATCCTTTTCCAAACATGGGTTCAGGCCTTTGCTAATTCAGTATTCTCTGTTAGAACTGTCAGGAAGTCAAGATTTTGTTCAGATGACACGATCTGTGCAAAACCTTCAGCTCCCCCTCCAACCCTGAGGCCACATTAAACTCTCCTTCCTGGGTTCCCTTTTAGCTCCTTGTGTTAGTCAAAGTTCTCCAGAGAAATGGATTGTATATATCACTTGAGCTAATTCCTTTTAATAATTTGTGGAAAGGAATTGGCTCAAGAGGTTATGGAAGCTGAAAAAGGCAGTGTTGTAAATTATAGTCTATGTCCAAAGGGAAAAGATTAATGTCCCAGCTGGAGAATTCTTTGTCAGCCTTAATGTTCCATTCGGGCCTTCAGTGAATTGGATGAGGCCCACCCACACTGAAGAGGGAAATCTGCTTTACTTGATCTATAGATTCAAATGTGATTTTCATTCAAAAACACTCTCACAGACACACCCAGAAATAATTTTTAACCAAATATTGGGCCAACATGTGACCCAGTTAAGTTGCCACATAATATTAATCATCACACTCCTGATACACACCTATCATAGAGCACTTAACACCTCATGTTCTAATTATTTGCAAACCTGATTCTCTCATTGGATTAGATGAGGAGGTCTTCAAGGGTAGGGACAAACATATTCATCTCTCTATCCCAGGACAAGACATTGCTTAATACACAAGTATAAAATGTAAAGAATTTAAAAAGTTAAGGCTAATTAATAATGCCTACCAAAAAAAAAGATTTATACTGTTTTGTTCACTGATTTATTCTCAGCACCTAGAATAGTGTCTGGTGCATAGTAGATGCTTAATACTTAGGTAATGAATAAATGCATGTTCAGGATACCTAGACCAAATTGTGGTCAAGTACTTTAGGAGTATTTTTGTAAAGGCTATTGATATGTTAATTGCAGTTTAAAAAAAAAATCTCTGAAGTAAGACAGTCAACAATTTTTATTCTTTTTCAGAAATTTTTTATTGGTGCATTATAGTGGTACAGAATGATGGGATTTGTTGCTACCTCTGCAAACAACAAACTTTTTCTATGAAGGACTGGATAGTAAATATTTTAGGCTTTGGGGGTCATATGATCTCTGTCAAATACAACTCTTCTGTCCTAACACAAAAATAGCCATAGACAATATGAAGTGAATGGCTCTGGCTGTGTTACAATAAAACTTTATTTATAAAAACAGGCAGTGGGCTAGATTTGGCCTGCAGACCACAGTTTGTCAGCAGCCTAGTTATTCAGCAACTCAATTGTTACAGTACTGTATGTTCTTTCAAGTAATATTACGTGTGTGTGTGTGTGTGTGTGTGTGTGTGTCCTCTCCTCCCTATTATATAGATAAATTGTACTTTGTTTGTCCACACAGGGGCAGCTCATGGCCTGTCATCCATTCTGCAGATGCTTCTTTCTTACCATGAGCACCTCAAGCCCGCAGATCGGGAGCTGGTGTGGCAGAGTGTGGACTTCCTCATGGAACAGGAACAGAATTGCAACTGGCCACCTGAGCTCGGCGAGACTATCGAGAGAGAGAATGAGTTGGTCCACTGGTGCCACGGTGCTCCAGGTCTCGAACACACTGTTGTCTGAACACATGGCCTTTCATCTAGTGTAGCCAGAGGGAAATTCCTTTTCTGAGACATGAGGGTATTGCTCATTAGGTCGTTATTATGTAAGATAAAAAAGGCAAAGATGAAATTTTTCAAAACCAAAATTGTCTTCATCTCTAAAAGAAGTCTGGAAATAATTCTGTATTTAAAAAAAATTATAATGAACCAGGATTGATGGTGCCTGCCTGTATCCCAACGGCTCAGGAGACTGAGGCAGGAGGATCACGAGTTCAAAGCCAGCCTCAGCAAAAGCAAGGCACTAAACAACTCAGTGAGCCCCTGTCTCTAAATAAAATACAAAATAGGGGATGTGGCTCAGTGGTTGAGTGCCCTGGGTTCAATCCCCTGTACCCCCCCCAATAATTATAATGCGTATTTTTTTATATATACTGTTAAACTAGCACTGTCCAATAGGAGTACACTATGAGCCACACGTGTAATTTACATTTTCAGAGGATTTGATTGTAACTCAATGGTAAAGTACATGCTTAACTGGCTGAAGGTTCTGGGTTCAATCACCAGTGCCACTAAAAAAAAAAAGAAAAATTAGTAGCCCTATATAAAAATGTAGAAAAAAATGAGTACAATTAATTTTAATGGTATATATTATATAATCCAATATTCCCCAAGTGTTATCATTTCAACAGGCAACCGATTTAAAAATTGAGATAATTTACATTTTTTAAAATATTGAATCTTTAAAATCCAGTGTCTATTTTACATTTACATCACATGTTAATTCAGACCAGCCACATTTCAAAAACTCAATGGCAACCGGGTGCACTGGTACACACCTATAACCCCAGTGGCTCAGGAGGCTGAGGCAGGATGATCACCAGTTCAAAGCCAGCCTCAGCAATTTAGCAAAGCCCCAAACAACGTACTGACTCTGTCTCAAAATAAAAAATAAAAAGGGCTGGGAATGTGATTCAGTGTTTAAGTGCCCCTGGGTTCGATCCCTGGCACCAAAACAAAACAAAAACTCACTAGCTACATTAAACATGCAGGTCTAGAGCCTGGCAGCTCATACTGTGGCCCTGGCCTAGTAGCATGGACAACTGAAAGCTTGTTAGAAATCCAGAATCTCAGTCTCCACCCCACTGAATCAGAATATGCATTTTAACAGTACCCTCAGTCAATTTGTGTGAATCTTTAAGATGCATGTTTTAGAATTCTTTTTCAAATGAGGAGTCTAGTAGTACCTAATAAAAGTCTTAAGAAATAAAAAGCCATCCCTATTGAATGCTGCGGAATTGAGTCTATAAACTTTTCAGATCCCATTACCTACCTCCTCTAACCACCTTTTAAAAATCCCATTACACTTCTAATTAGGCCTTTGGAGATAGGGCAAATTGAAGTAAGTTAAGTTCAAATAAATCAATTAATTTTGGTAAGTTGACCAGGGAAGAGAATAAAATACACAAAATTTTTAGATTACAAGTGCATTTATTTTCAAGGCTATATTTCAATCACGGGCACAGCTTTAGACTATATTTGCTTTCCCTTTACGTTGTTACCTGATTGTTACCTCCTTTCCCCCCTTGTTTTCTTTCTTTAATTCAACTGTAATTCCATTTTTCCTTGATATAGTTTGAGTTGATGAAAAATAAGTCACAACATATTGCCATATTTCCTCTGCCTGCAACATTTGCCTATGGAAGGAAATTCAAAGTGTGTGCTTATATCAGTACCAGGACATTGTACATTATGTCCATGCTAACTCCTGCCAACTCTAATTTGTGCCTATTTCTTCTCACTGTGACCTTTTTGGGAAAAAAAGCATAACAGTTATTTACAACCCTGGAAATTATATTTCTTCTTGTTATGCTCAATACCTCCATTTCCCATTCCCCTTAATCATTCTCAATGATGGTCTCTGGATCTCCTCCAACCATCCCAGGATCCTTGAATTTTGGAGATGACCCAAATTAAATACAAAATATTTTTAAAAGGACTCAATGTGCTAGTAACAGCCTTTAATAGAGTGGGAAGATAATCTACTAAAATGAGTGAGTGAGCCAGTTAATTGATACAGGTGTCTTGAAGGGCAGTTATTCCATCCTTTCTGTACCAGATACCATCTGTCTCTGCAAATCATGGACCGTAGCAGGACAGCATAGGATTCATCACACTGGGGACCTTATTTATCCTCCTTTATCATTTATATTAGGTATCTTGAGAATATTAAGCATAGTTTTCAATGCAAAGTCATTTAATCCCTGTACTCACTGGACTGCCCAAAACAAATCAGTTCACAAATGAAAAAAACAAAAATAAAATGGGGCCCATTATTTCTGCCAATCCCCACTCCCACCCACAGGGCATTGCTCTTCCTTTTAAGAGATGCTCTACAAACAGCCTCAAGAGTGATTAGAAATCTGATAAATGCAAGTCAAAGATGATCAAGTTCTAGCTGAAGTTGGCAACAGTCAACTCCCCCCGAATTCTCAAATAGGAAATAGCTAGAAAAATAATTTCATTTGTTTAAGGGGAAAAAATTTCATAGTAGATTTATGAATAGCACAGATGGTTTGGAGCAGCAGACAAATTCTGTGATGAAAAACCTGCCAGAGATAATCCACAAGGTGGAACTTTATTAATGCTACGTTATCGTTCCCTTTGTTTGTTATTGACTTTCCTTCGACTCACCTCTACAGGTGACAGTCCTAGTTATCATTTATGCAATGTAGAAATAGTTCTTGACTCCAGGTTAATAACTCTGAGTTCTAACTGTAGCTCCAACACTAACCAGCTAGGTGACCTTGAAAAAAGTCATTCTGTTTCATCTGTGAAATGAATTTGTTAAGAAGAAGTTGTGAAACTCAATCTTTTTATCACCATGGGCCCTTTTCTCCTTGGACCCTTGCCATTTCTGAGGGATATGTCCCTGATGCTTTGCAAACACCCACATTTATAAATACCTACAGCGGCATAGAGCTTTTTCTCACTAAATGCAATAAAGTATTGCAGGAAGGTTATATGACCCTTTCGCAGTTTTGATGACTCTGAAATATAGGACGAAAGCCATTTGCAAAATCATTAAAACAAATGCTGAGGCTAAAATAAACTCCCAACTGCATCAGGTTACATCATTACTGTGGTGACACTGACATTGCATTTCCTGTACTCTGTGAGTGAAACACAGGTGCGGGCATTTTCTAAAAATTCATTTCATGAAGGCTCTGGGGTA